GATTCTCAGTTGAGGAAATTTCCCCACCAGACTGGTCTGTGGACAACCCTGTGATACTTTTATTTTTTAAACCAATGATTGATATGCAAAGACCCAGCCTAATGGGGATGATGCTACCCCTGAGTTGGTAATTCTGGGTGCTATAAAAAAGCAGGCCAGGCATCTATGAGGTTAAGCCAGCAAGTAGCATTTCTTCATGGCTACTGCATCAGTTTTTTTTCTGCCTTGAGTTCCTGCTCTGACTTCCCTGGATCATGGACTATAAGCTATAAGATGAAATAAACCCTTTCTTTCACAAGTTGTTTTTGGTCATGGTGGTCATATCAAGCAATGGAAGTCCTAAGGAATGAACACACTTTTGCTCTAGCTTTCTTGGTCCAGCAATTTCCATGTTTATCCTGTTTTGAGATGTAGTGTTGAACCTATCATCTTTTTGAAAAGCATTGCTTAATTCTGTTCCACAGATTTGGTCACATGATACTTTTAGCTCAAAGCAGCTCCTGATTGCCCAGTACTTTGCCAGAGCTGGACCCTCTTGTTCCTGGTCATCAGTATCACAGTATTGATCTTCTGCTTCTTGCCCAACAACATCTTACCCCCTGCCTTCATCATTTACCGAATTCATCTCCAGATTTCTCCAGATTAGCATCTTCATTGACGTCCATATTTGAGAAAAGCATTCTTCTCTCTTGCTCGGAAACTTAAAAGAAAAACCATTGATGACGTTTATAAATTGTTATTTGTTCAGATTTATAAAACAGAATTCTAATACTTGAGGAATAAAACACTCTGGTCAGCATATATGAATTAATTCTATGTGTGGGGTTTTGTTCACATGTTTATTTGTGTATATTCATTGTATGAAACAGTGTGCTTCATTATTACATTCCATACATATGCCTGTACTTTGTTCATATTAGTTCTTTTACTCTCTTTTTTGTGCTATCACTGCCCTTCCTGGTAGTTCCTCTCCTCTTCCCAAATAACACCCCTCTACCCCTCTGTTTTCATAGCATGCAAAAAGACATGGGTGCAGGTTCATATGCAATAAAGACAGTCTAGATTCTGCAAAAGAAAGATGTGATACAGTCTTTCTGGCATATGTTACTCATCACAATGACCTTCAGCTCCCTCCATTTACCCTCAAATGACATAATTTCATCCATCAGACTTCTTCAGCTGTCTGTTGATGGACATCAAAGCTGGCTCCATGTCTTGGTGTTTGGAACAGTGCAGCAATAAGCACGCTATCTCTAGGCATGTTGACTCAGATTCCCCCTTAACTAGATCAAATGAAATGCAAATCAAACTTAGTGTGTGGATTGCAATCAGACAGTGTAGGTTGATCTGTGCTAACAACCAAGGCCAAGTATTTTATGCTAAAACCCAAGCAGGATTATTTCTCATTTGTAAGCATGTTACTGGTTCTGTATTTTCCTTGAGGAACTCCATTCCCTTCATCCATGGTTGCTCAGCAGGACAGTGTCTCCCCAAGCTTCTTTCTTCCTTCTGCTCAGACTGTGTTTAAGTAGCTGGAGCATTCCACAGCCACCCGTTCTGGAAGGAATTCAGAAACTATATTCCCATGTGTCCACAAGTAGACTTGGCAGTGTTTGGGGGGGGGAGGGGATATTGGCTACTATATATTCTGCTTATTTCCCTAAAGCCTGGGTTTGATTATTACTTTATTTTTTTTAAATCCCTTCAAAAAATCCTCAAAAAATTTCCTTGTAATTTTCTTTAAAATGTCCAGAAGACCACAATTGTAGCAACTCAGAGATAGTCTGTACTCTCTGGGCTTGGACCACAGCTGCCACGTTCTGAGCATTTTAAGAAGTTAAACTTCAGTGAACTTTGTGGCCTGGGTGTGAAGCAAGGACACATATACATTTTTCAGGGACAACATTTTATTAGGAAAAGAAGAAGGTAGGGTCTGAGCCAAGAGTTAGATCCAAGTAATTAGTGCTGGCCACCACACATCAGGCAGAGAGCCAGGTATCTTTAGCATATGTTAGCTAATTTAATTTAATCCTTTATAAAAACAATTTTAGGTGATTCTTATCGTCCTTTATTTAACTATCTAGAAACAATGAAAAAAAAAAAGATCTACTCAAAAGCCTTTAGCTAGCAACTGACAGGCGAGTCTTCATCCTGTCATCTGAAGGTGCAGAAGCTGAACACAGTAACATCATGTGTACTGAGATCACATCTGTTTGGCAGAGCTGCAGGGTGCATAAAAGGTGGGACTTCCAAGGGAAGGAGATTGAAGTTTATTAGATAGAGGAAGATCCAGAAAGGGCATTAGCAGAAGCATGAGGCATTCCTCAGAAGCATTGATCCACTTGTTTCTGCTGCCTAGGATGAATAGAAATGAGGTGTCTGGAGGCCTGGAGATGTGTTGGCAGAAAACTGTGAAAACTCAGATAGGCCTGGGTGAGCACAGTGCTAGCAGTGGAAAGGAAAACAGTATTACTTCTTGTCTGCAGACCCAGTGGGCATTGCAGCTTGGAGTTGGCGTCCTCTCTACATAGAGAGCATGTCGTTTCTGTAACTTTCTTAAGGACATGTTTTCAGGGAATCTTTCATGTATAGTAGAGGGAAGCACATAATGACCTCAGTATGGGATCCTCAGAGCTTCTCTTTAAGAAACAGAACAAACCCCCCAAACACACACACACACACAAACAAACAAACAACAAAACAAAAACAAGGGGAGTGCATGCCTCTTCCTCATCACTTCTTGTGTACCATGTTTCACCAAGGAGATGCAGTGCCTTTGAGTGTGGCTATTTGGGTATCAGAAAGAAAAGGGATTCTGAGAAATGTTACTGGCAATATCCAAAAGTATCATGAATGTGCAGGTATAGAAGTGTGAAAAATGGAGCCTGCAGGCTCCTCTGGAGGGACAGAGGCTGCTTGGGCCTGAGTTCTGAATATGAGTTATCAGCATTAGCTCTGTATTTAAACTTTCAGTGAGTATACTAATTCTTTGTGGAAAGTTTGTGGTTTTTAACTGTTGGGGCTGATTTAAATGTTTCCCATCGTTCTGCTGTTGCATGTCGGATATCTGCTACCAGTTTGCCCTTTTGGGACTACCTTTTAACACCATTTAATAAAAAATTTTCTAAGTCTGAGAACACATCTTTAGTAAAATCTGCCCACAGGTCAGGTTTGTTTTGAATGCCAAGAGCCTGGGAAGGGAGGCTGAGAGCTGGCTACAGCATCCTAGTGCTCTAACTATGAAATGGAGATCAATGCAAGGCAGTGACAACATTACCAGATACCCAGACTTCCTGGCTGACAATCTGAAAGCTGGGCTTGGAGTTGAAGGAGGGCTGGATAAAGCCCATGTTTCTGGCAGCTTAAGCTGGCCCTTCCCATTAACAACACAGTAATGCAGTTGTGCGGTGGTTGAAAAGGCATCCCTAGTTACAGGGAGTGATTTACAGGACACCAGACTCCACATTTTAGAGTCTCCTGTGTACCATAAAAATATATTATAAAGGAATAATCTTTATCTGAACTAAAGCTGCGGTGCAGAAGCCTCACGTCCAGCTGAGAGCAGCAGTGAGCTTTTGTTCACTCAGGGAAAAGTCCCCGTTCATTGTATTTGATGAATATTTTTCCTCTTCGGCAGTAGGTATCTTGTTAATATTTAGACATTATATACATTTTATTTCAACTATTGTTCCCATTATGAGATCAAATAGAACAGGAGAAGCCAGCCTCATCAGCAGGAGAGGGGAAAGCTGACAGTCTGGGCACCTAGTTACCTGTGCCTAGCAGCCAGCCCCTGTACTCAGGAAGAGTTTCCTGGAGTATCTCTCTAGTTGGGTTCTCCCCTAACTTCCACCCCCTACACCCTTTCTTGAGCTAAAGGCAGCAGCTAACAGTCCATTTCAGAATCTCCCAAAACGTTCCGCTACCACCCAGTGAGAGCAAGGCTGGAACCCTCTGTGCAGAGAAAAGACACCTAAAAATATTCAGTGAAGTGACATGCAGACATTCCCCTGCTTATTTGGTATTTGGAGGAATGGGGACTCCTGTCTGTGCCAGCTCAGGGAACCCCAAGCTCCCTTAGACCGCAGTGCCTCCCACAGGTCACAGGTGGGTGCACCTGTGGTTAAGGGGACCTAGTAGTGGACAGCGCCATCTTTCACTAGGTGATGGGGCAAGAGCAAAAGTCTGGAAAACCTTTGGGGTCTGTGTCAAAACTCCATTCACCAGGATCCTCAAGACAAGGCAGGAGACGTGGAAGTTGGGGTGCGGAAGGTGTGGGAAAGGAGCTGCTCCAGAAAGCAAGGCAGGAGAGGAGCTAAGGAAGAGAGGGTCAAAAATGGGCTGAGTTTGCTCAGAGTCCCACCGGAGGAGACTAGGAGCAAACTAGCCACTGACAGGCTGGCAGTTTTCCAGTGAACGATGGCCCGGGCCGGCGCTGGGCTCCAAATTCCTCCAAGAGTCTGGCGAGCGCTGGCGAGCTCGCTGGCACCTCGGACTCCCCTGGGAGCGCAGCGCCAGGGCGGGGCTGGGTCCTCCGCGCGCGCTTGGCCGCGGCTGGCCGGGGCCAGGATCGCAGCTCTCCTAGGCGCCCCAGCCTCGGCGCACGCCTCCGCTCCCGCGCACCCCCTCCGCAGGCACGCGCGAGGCTCACCCCTCCTTCCCCGGGCGGCGGCGGGCACGCGCCCGGCCCCCTTGCCTCCGCCCCTCGGCGCCCGTCCTCTCTCCGGCAGAAAGTTAGCAGCGGGGAAGGAACTCAGGGCTGCTGGAGCGCAGCAGCGGCGACGCGGGGAGAGCCGGGCGCTGCGCACAGAGCAGGTGCCGCTGCGGCTCGGCGCCCCCCTCGGGCTCCCGGCCTGAGGTTGAGGGGGGCGGCGGGGGCCCGCGCGGGGAGGGGGCCATGCGGCCGGGCTTGTCCCCGGCGCAGCGGGACGGCAGCCAGGGCCGGGGGCGCAGCGGCGTCGCTCCATGCAGCCGGGGCGGCTGGGCGGCGGCGGCGGCGGCGGCGGGGGCGGCGGCTGAAACCATGTCCGGGCAGCGCCGGGGGCCGCCGCCGCCGCGAGCCGGGAGCCGCGATGGCCCGGTGGCCCGCACCGCCTCCGCCTCCGCCGCCGCCGCCGCCGCTCGCCGCGCCGCCGCCGCTGCCCGGCGCCTCCGCTAAGGGGCCGCCGGCGCGCAAGCTGCTCTTCATGTGCACCCTGTCCCTGTCCGTCACCTACCTGTGCTACAGTCTGCTGGGCGGCTCTGGCTCTCTGCAGTTCCCCCTGGCGCTGCAGGAGCCCCCGGGAGCCGCCGCGGAGCCCCCGCCGAGCCCGCCGTCTTCCTCGCCGCCGCCGCCCCGCGTGCGCCCCGGCGCCTCCTCGCCACTGCCGGACAACGCGAGCCACGGGCCGCCGCCCGAGCCCCCCGAGCGCTTCACGGCACCCGCGGCCGACGGCTGGGGACTGGCGAGCGGCGGCGGCGCCCGGGACACCTGGTCCCGGAGCCCACCGGCCCCAGGAGACACGGTCACAGCACAGGGCGCGCTGCTGGGGCGCGGGGCGCAGGAGCCGGGCGCCACTGAGGAGCTGGCAGGCCCGAGGGCGACCAACGCGAGTGCGGAGCGGGGACCCGTCAGCACCCCTGATTACGGGGAGAAGAAGCTGCCCCAGGCGTTGATCATCGGGGTCAAGAAAGGAGGCACGCGCGCACTGCTCGAGGCTATCCGCGTCCACCCGGACGTGCGGGCCGTGGGTGTAGAGCCGCACTTCTTCGACAGGAACTACGAGAAGGGGCTGGAGTGGTACAGGTAGGAGGCTGTGAGGCGCGGGGCGCGGGGCGCGTGAAGGGTCCCAAGAGCCCATAGCCCAGGCAGCCTGGGTGGGGGCAGTGGGAACCGTGTCCGGGTTGCACAGGGTGCTTGTGCTGAGAAGGCAGGACTCCAGCTAAAAGATCACTTTATTTCCGGGCGAGGGGAGGAGCAGGTGCCTTGGGATTTACCAGGCTCTAAAATCTGGGAATCCCCAGCCCTCGCGCCTGCCTGCGGGGTGTTTCCCAGACCTGGCTGCTACAGGGCTCTGAGCTTCTAGGTTGGGAACATGCCGAGGAATGACACAGAAGAGCTAAATTGACGACTTGGCTTTGAGATCACCGGGAATCAATCAAAAGCGCCCTCAAAAGCATTTGCGTGGCTGGAATCCAACGTCAGTGTTTTAAGGTCAGAGCAAAAGGAGCAGTTTAAAAAATCAAAAATCAAAAAACAAAAAACAGATGGTGTAGGCGCTTTGACTTTCTAGTAAAGGCAGGGTGTTTCCTACCTCTGTGACTGTCCCTCCTGGCTTAATGAGTACTGGGCTGATTTAGCACCAGGAGCCTAGGTTTCTAGATGCCAGTTGATGCTCTAAGTGTGTCTATGCCCTGCTCAGTGCCCTTTCAAATCTGAGCCTTGGAGACAGATTAGAGTTACTTCTGCAAAGAGTTATATACCTCTTTCTCATCATCAGATATTGGTGCAAGAGAGGGAGTAGGAGAAAGTTAAGTGCAGGTCAGGTAGCTAATAATCTACATTTCTTGTCAGCTGTGACATTAAAACCGAATTGGTGCAATGCCCAAAGTGCAGGCTTCATCACTCTCTTGTCCACCCTTTCCTCTCCCTCATCATATCTTTCTGGAAAACAGATCTGGATGGGTGGCCCGATCTCGATCACATTTCAATAACTAATTGCAACTGTCAAACAGAAACACAGCCTTTGTCAGCTGAAGCGATGCTATCAGTTCCACAGAGCCAATAGGTAAAATTGGCCTGTGATGGGGTTGCTTTTCTGTCAGAGTGACATGCTTCCTGGGTTTGAATTACAACCTGGGAAAAGTTTTGCCTATAACTTTAGAGTATGTAATAAGCATGTGTGTTGTGATTGGTTTCTCCAACTTTTTTTTTTTTTTTAATTTGCCTTGTGCTTTAATAGCTGGGGAGAAGTACACCCCGGCATAAACATTCCAGCACATCACACTGACACTGGGAATGTGTCTGTTAATGTCTTGTCTGTTTCAACAGTAAGAACTAATTGGGATATTTTAGGAGGCTTCAAACAGTCCCTTCCTATCAAAACATAAAACAGCAAGTGCCTAATTTAACTGGAAAAAATTCGTATTTATAACATCACAAGCCATGGCTTCCAGTTTGTGATTATAATTAAAAAGGTGTTAGGATGATTAATGCAACAACAGCAAAATAAAGACAGGGGAAGATGTCTGGGAAGGGTTCAGTTTACTGGTTAGCTACAGGCATGTCCAAATTTCTTCTGTGTTGTGGCTTTAGCCATGGGAGGGTAACTGTGGACTCCCCCCACCCCAGTTCTAATTTTGAAGCCATGCATCTTGTAGGAAGTGTCACATGCCCTTTCAGAGAGGCATAAAGATCAAATCTTGGAGCCTGTGTTTTGGGTGGCTTTGCTGCAGTAGAGCTACGGAAAGGAGTTCTTTATTTGGATGGTGAATAAAGTTGGTGGGGAATGCTTGAGCTAGGAAATCCCATCCTGGGATCTGGAGAGTTTTGTATATGAACAGAAAGAGGACCCAGATTTCTTAGGGTTTTAAACACTGAAGTTGGGAAGGGAGGATACATGAGCTACCTCACTATCACAACATGGCTACTGAAGGTGTGTGGTGGTGTAATGAAACCCCCAGCCTCCCATCCTAGCCAATACTTGTGGTTTGTGTGTGACTTGATACTACTATTTGTTAGCCCTGAGTAAAACTGCTAAACCCAAATGTACATCTAGAACAAGGTCTGCTTGGTTCTAGGTAAGAGAACATTTGCTAACTCTTGTTCCTCAGTCCCTGGCCCTTAACCTCTTGCCTTATAGATCTGCACAAGGCCAAATGGTGTTGATTGGAAGTGAGGAGGAGATGCTGTCTTAGCTTCATGGAAGTGTGTGGCCATCTAACAATGAGGGACTCCTTAGCCACTGAAACGTGGCTGATGGCAAGATTCTGGGAAGCTCCCTAGGTTCACTGGAACCCAGTGTGCTTCCCAGCCTCATTAGAGACAGCCATTCTTTGAGGACATTTGTGAGACTTCATTAGCCTTGTCTTTTCATGCTTGCTCTAAGCCTCTCTCCAATGTAGGACGAAGGGATGATAGAAACGTGAATAGTGGCTTCAGTTCAAACCAGTGGCAGAAACCCTTTGTCTTGGTTCCCTGAGCAACTCTGGGCTCTCTAAATGGCAGAGCCTGGACTTCCTAGCGCCGTGTCTGCAGTTTACAATATGGTAGCTTCATTGAAGTTTAATTAAAAGCTTTAAATTTTCATTATTTGTTTAACCACTTATTCATTTACTTAGTTATTGTTTTACATGTTCCCCCAGTTGTCCACTGCTTCTGCAAGTGGTCCTGGATTTTGTACATTGAGCAAGAAGGGCTGAGATGAATCTGGTACTGCTATCAATGCAGCTAGCTGGCTTGGGCTTCCCTCCTATCTAACAGATCAGCCTTAGCAGGTTTAGTTCTGTAGCATCACTCCAGTTCTCTCCAAATCCAGGTTTTGCTTTGCACCAATGCTGTTGATCTAATGGGATGTAAAAGCACATTGGAGATTAAAATATATACATTTGATTTTCAGGGCAGCTCCTGACTAGTGGATTAGGATGTGTGTGTTCAGGCTGCAGAGGTGCTTAGCCTCCATGGTGGACTGACCCAGCCAGTGGTTAATAAGCCTGGTGGATCAAGCCCTCCTCCTCTACCTTTCTATACCTTCTCCAAAAGGGCGAAGCCACATGCAAATTTTGTAGGAGCTGATACAGTGGTCCTGATAGAGACCTCCAACCCTTCTAATAAGGGATGGGACCTTGGGGCAGACTCTGACTACCACTTTAGAACTCATCACAATGACAGAGTGTAGGAACATGTGCCTCTCCTGTCACTCACATGGATAGTGACCATGGCCTTTTGCTTTAGAAACTACTTAGGTCCAAGGTGATGTCTGTGGTATTATGTGAAGTGATTTGAAGAACCTGCTGCGTGCTGAAGGGTGCCCAGCTTTTGCTCCCCAGTGGAGGGGTCGGCAGCAGCACTCTCAGTTGGTGTCTGGAGAGAACACAGAGGACAAGAGATGCTGGCATTGATGGAATGCCAGCCATATTATTGGCTCACACTCTATAGATGTGCAGCATTGAACTTACGCTGTGAGCTCACAGTGGTTTATTTTTTTATATTTTTTTTGACCACATTCCCTTTATTCCTGGAGGTAAGTGACTGGCTCAAGGTCCTAGGTTGGTGGCTGTCCTAGCTGAGATTGAACCTGCATTTGTCCAGTTGCAGGTGGTTTTATTTCTTGGCCTGCACCACATTGCCACTCACTAATACTAAAAGAACAGCTTCTATTTCAGTCCCTTCCTTCAAAAATGAATAATAACTGCTCACTGTACATCATTCAGTACCATTTTAGGGATGGAGGATGAGGTGAAACATGAGATAGGTGGAGTGCCCATTCTTCCAAAACAGTTTGCAAAGAGGTGGGGGAGACAGCAAACAAGCAAACCAAACAGCATGTAGTGAGCATTTTACGTTTGTGAGAGTTGTAAAGAAATCTTAACTAACTAAAGGCCTAGAGCTCTTCTGCGCAGGGTGGTGACTCCCACAAGTGAGTGGTATGGCTGAAGTGGCCAAATTGGAATATGCCAAACGCATGAAATATACAGAGGGAAAAGTTGCTCAGTAGTCATTTTCTATTCATATCACACAGAAACCCTAGCACTCATATTGAACTAAATAATGTACATTATTAATTCTGTGCTTTGTGTGTGTGCGTGTGTGCGTGTGTGTTTGCCTTTTATGGCTGTTGTTGGCACTTTAGGAGACTGATGCCATGGCCTCCAGTGAGTGTTCCAACATCGAGCTACAGCCTCAACCCTTAACTTCACTTTTTTTTTTTTACCTTTTAAAAGTGCCTATTAGAAGATGTAAAAGCACATCCATGAGGAATTGTAGTTCTATTGGGTGGCCCATGTGTAGTTTCAAGCTTTTAAATGTTAAGCATGCCCAGGCATCTTTGTTTATCAGGATTCGGATGCTGTAGGTCTGGATGGGGTGGAGGAGGGGATGCTGAGTTTCTGAGATGTCCTAGATGCCATTGTGGCTACTAAGTATTAGAGCTTCCTTTAAGCTTAAGTTCTTTGATTTGTGAATGTGTTAGTGTATGTGCGTGTGCCTGTACATGCATGTACATGTGTGTATGTTCACACATACCCATGTGTGCATCCACATGTGGTATTTTGAGATGATAACATAGTGGAAACTATGTAAATAGAGTGATAGAGTAAGACCTCCCCCCTCCCCATATAAAGATCCAGTTGGAGAGGCTCTCAGCAGAAGAAGAGTGAGTGTAAGGGTCCTGAGGTAGAATCGAATTGTGTGGTTCATTCATCACTCTGGATGCAGTTGAGTTCACAGCAGACATTGTAGTGTACCAGCTGAGGTATCTCCAGTATGTAGCATGTATAACATCACTCAGGTATTTCTTCCTGATACCGAAAGTGGGTGTGTTCCTTAACAACATGAGTGTCCCAGAGCAGAAGTTTAAATGAGGCTGAATAGTGTTCATCCTCATTTCTAAAATCCTTTTATATTTTTTCTTGGGCCTTCATCTTTACCAGGGATGTGAGATGCTGTCTCATTTGGATTGGTTTAGGAAGAGCCCAGTAAGGAGGACTTTGCAACCTGCATCTCTTTCATATTGTAAACAAATTCAGGTGACATCAGGGCCCTTGTGGGTCAGATAAATCAAAGCAGCCACTAGGAGGGGTTGATCT